CAGCTTGGGCCAGTGAAGCAACATCCTCCACAACTAGACTGAAGAACAAAAACAACAGCAACTTCTCTGTTCCCCTTCCCCCGATTCCCCAATAAAATCTTAAAAAAAAAAAAAAGTGATAGACACTAAAGTGATACAGAACTGGCTCTCTTAGGTTCTATCTCTGGGATCTGTGAATTAAATTAACAAAAGCTAGATTAAGAGGAGAAAATTTAAGGGTGAAACTCAGGGAATCAATAATGCAGTTAAACTTAGCTAGTTTGCAGTTTAAGTCAATTAGACTTAGTTTGTTTGCAGTTTGAGTCATCCTGTTTTCTCTTTGTTTCTCCCCTCACTGACTAACTGAAGGACTCTGTTTGCTCCCTTTCTCAAAGCTACCCATACCTCGTTAATTAACATCCTAACCTGGAAAAGAGCAATTTCTTAATCATCAGTCACCCAGACACTGGAATCCAATTTACAACTCCCTTGCAGTATTTACTGGTGATGCATTCAAGTCCCAGGATGCTATGGCTGAGTTGGAGTCCAGAGTCCAGTGATAACATCATCTTAAAACAGACCAGACACAAGGAAGCGATGTCAGCCCTCAAACCTGCCTGACTGACTCCCCCTTTCCTATATAAGAAAAAGCTGACCTGAAGTTAGGTGCAGCTGTCCACTCTCAGACTCTGGACTCTGCCCCGGCCACCCCCACCCCGTGTTTCTCTCCTTACTACACGCAGCAGCCATCATCTTTGGACATTGCCATGGGCATTCTCTCTCTGCCCGAGCTTTAATAAAACCTTTCTTCACTCTCCCACTTATAGAGTCTGTGAACAACCAGGGGTGAATTCCACGCCACAACAGAAAAGGCATACAAATTTTATTTGATGCCAACATTTTAATTTTTATCTGCACAGAGGCCTTCATAGAAAATACGTGGAGACCCCAAGAAGCAGTTAGACCCAGGGACCTATGCACCATTTTAACAAAGGATGATAAATTGTGGAGAAGTGACAAGACAAAGGAAAAGGGGTTTGGGCTTCCAGCGACAGTAATTATTGGAAGGTAAACACATGACAGGAAATTAACAAAAGACAGGGTTATTTTAGTAAAGTTTGTGCAGATTACCTTGGTGCCAACTTTCTGTCTCTAGTGATCTCCTAGTAGGGGCAAGACCTTCACAAAAGGAAATTTATGGCCTACTTTTAGGCAGGCAATGAGAGTAAAAAGAGCTCTCTGAATTTGCTGTTTCTTAATTGCCTTCAGCTCAAAATAATCCTTATTCCAAAGTGGCATATCCTTTCAAAAACATGGGAAAGTATATCTAGAAAATTCAATAATATGAAATTTAGGATCTACATAAGTGATACAAAATATATAAGTACAGATCCTACCCATAGACTAAAAGTGGATGAGTTCATTCAAAAAGTCTGCCAGTCAGAAATATATCCCCTCTCCACTTGAGAGACTGCCAACTTGATAGCCAGTACAATGACCTTATTCAAAGGTATGTTATAAACAAGCACAAGTTAAGAGAGTACTTGCAAAATAAATTTCATTTATCTATTACTGGGATCATAATAATGAAACAATATTCTTTAAACCCAAAGGTCACCTGCCAGGTTTTTGTGGTTGGCAGATAAGAGAATTTTTTTCAAAACTACTTGATAGAAATCAAAAATGAAATGGAAAGCTATTTTGTCATTGACAACATTATTATCTGTGCAAATCGAGCATATAAAATATAAGCAATAAAAAATACCCATAAAGATGAGAATCTGAATCTTTAAGGTGCTTACCTTAGTAATCATTCACTCCTACTGATCAGTATAAAATCCAAACTCCTTAGAATGGCTTATGAGCCCTTTTACGAGCTGACTGAGTTTCACTGCCTAATTTCTACTTTTCTTTGCCTAAAGCCTAGGTTAGCAACTCTGTAATACAATTATTCACTTATCTTCTCCCATTTAACCTGTAAATCTTTTGGGGCAAGAAATGTGACTTCTTCAATGTTAAACTCCTATGTCTAGCATACAGTAGAAACCTAGTGAATAAAAAAGAAAAAAATGGGTGGACAATGAGCTACTGGTGTCATTTACGAAATACCTCAAGATATCTAAGGCAGGCCCATTTATACTAATCATCCTTGAGCATCTAGATGACTAAAACTTCCATTACCATAATGAAGCACAATCATTTCTCAGAGGTTTTATTTACCAAGCATCTAGTATATTTATCAAGCATCTACTATTTTACCAAGCACCTAGTATATAGCAGTTCCTAGAACTATAGAAATGGTGTAATCCAGTGTTTGCTCTCAAAGTTGACTTATTTCACCCTTTAAATAAACCTTTGCCTGCAACAATAACAAGAACTAAAACATTAAAAACTCCTATAAATGAGCCACTCTAAGGGTGTAGAAGGAAAGGAAGAGAACCAAGTAAGTATAAACTTGGAAAGCTCTCTTTTAGACAAACAGGCAGCTTTTTCTTGCATCTAATTTTTTTTTCAAGATGAAGTCCAAAAGGGAATAATGGTTACTGTCTAAACTATGTGTGGGCAAGCATGACAGAGGATCTCTGGAAATACAGAGGGTGCCAAAAAAAATGTATACACATTTTAAGAAAGGAAAAAACTGTATTAAAATTATGCTGATGGTACCTACTTTGAGTACTTCTTGTAACTGCAGAAGTTAAACGTGACTTGTATTCATCTTTTTTATCAATATATATTATTACAATTTTAATACAGTTTTTCCTTTCTTAAAATGTGCATACAGGGCCAGCAGAGTGGCTCAGTTGGTTAAGAGCTCGCTTAAGAGTTCGAGCTCTGAGCAGCAAGGGTCCTCGGTTTGATTCCCGGCCTGAGCTGAGCTCCCGCTGAGCTGCCAACAGGTGGCAGGATGGCTCAGCTAAAAAACAAACAAACAAAAACCAAATAAACAAAAACAACAAAAAAATTTGCATACATTTTTTTTGGCACCCTTTGTATATTCCAGAATCAAGAAGGGGCAGTATTGGGGTTGTCAAGGTCATGGCACTCTCTTAATATAACAGGGCACTCATGTTAACTGAAAAGAAAGCATACAACATGCTCTACTGCCATCTCCATCTGTGGAGAGTGTCCGGAAAATGTTTTAAATACCATTCTGAACACCCTCCTACTAATTCTCTTATTCCCTTTCTTGACTTTGTATCAGGAAACTTTCCAACTCCATCACTTACATTTCAGAAAGAACAGGTACCACGTAACCTTATCAGAATCTAGCATCTCCATGTAAAAGGTTATATGCTCTTGACAGTTCTATTAGTGCTGAGTCGTGTCTTCCTTCAGTTTTTCCTTACTTTAACCTTTTTGTTCATGTTTTCTATGTCCACATTTTTGAAGTGATCCCTAGTGGATGCCATCGAAGAGTGAGCAGGCTTCCCCAGTTAAGATTTTTCTTGAGGCCATCTATGAGTACCAGTCTTTGAACAATACAACTCCAATTCCTGTCAAATATATGTCACAGTGAAACGATCATAGGTTTTATTTTAAATATGGAACATAAGAAACATCTTAATCTCTAAAAACAGTGAATGCTATAAAAATGTTTGTCCTTATGATTGAGTCTCCATTCACTTGTTAAAAAAGCTCATATCAGAATTAACCTTCCATTAACTGATAGATATGGGTTTCATTTATGTGAATAGCTTTAATTTAACATGCCATAGAATTCCCCCAAGATGTTGTGCAAACCAAGGCCTTAAAAATTAAATTATATTTTCACCTAACATAAAAATATTTTGGTATATGCTTGATTTCCAATCAATCCTGAATTAGTAACTTAGCTTTTTCAACTCAGTCAAGTACAACGGTTTCTCTTTTTTGAGAGAATGGCTCTAGCAGGAATACAACAGGGAAGCCTGCTTCTGCAATGTGACTAATGCACCTCTGTTTTAGTGCTCACTTTGGTTTATTTTAGTACAAGCTTTACAACAATGTTGAGGCTTTTTACAACATTTAAGGCAATATTAAATTTAATATTACAGCTTTAAGGTTCAATCCACGTTAATGTTCAAGCTCCTAATGCGCTAATCCTTTATTTAAAATAATAATAGCTAACATTTTTTATCATTTAATATGTGATCAACCTTTCTGGTCACTTTAAATTGTATTATTTCATTTAACCCTCATAAAGAATCTTAAGAGCGGATCCTGTTATTATTCCTATTTTACAGACAGGGAAAGTAGCAAGAGGGAAATTAGGTCACTTGTCCAAGATCATACAGCTAATAAGTGATAGAGCCAGGATTCCAACCCAAAGCTTCTGCCTTCAGAGGCTAAAGGTCTATTTTGTAAAATGCTGAAAGCTGATCACAGGCTGGAAGAGACTTTACATTAAAAATCTGACATATAAAATTTGTCATATTTTGTCCTGGCTTCTGAACCCAAAATAGCTCAGGTAATATTTCTTAATGGTAAATTAGTAACGCTGATTTACTGAGGAATTACGTGAGTTAGCACACTTAGCACCGAACTTGAAAGAGGGTAAACACTAGAAAATGCTCTCTTATCATCAACATCATTTCAGTCAAAGCTTGGCATGAGAGGATGGATCCTATGCTGTCTGTGCATCTACTAAGAAACAGGAGGCACTGTGTCCTTCACAGAACGTTACCTCAGTGAAACTTCACTATAGCCCTAAAAGCAAGGTTATTATCGTCACTTCCCCATTTAACAGATGAAGAAACTGAGGTCTAATCGGCGTCTAAGTCCTTAAACTTGTGAGCAGTGTAGATAGGCGAGGTGCAAGCCCTGAGATCCTTCCGTCTCGCCCCTTCTCTTCCCTGGGCCTTAGTTTTCTTTCTCACCTGTGAGGTCCACACCCGCCCGGACGCCGGGGCCAGCCATCCCGACCCTCCACAGCGGCCTCCCACACCCCACTCGCCACAACAGCTCCGAGAAAACGCATCGGGCTGGACGCCCCCGACGTCCCTGTCACCCTCCCTTGAAGCACTCACTTCCGCCGCGACTCCACGTCTCTACCCACCGATACTTGAGAAAAAGCGAGCAGCTGTATGCAGCCCCGACGCGTCAGTCCGACCGGGACAGGACACAACCTCCTCCGCAACACCGACCCATTAGAGATCTCTCAGCTTCCCCGCCCGCCGAGGTCGGGGGCGGCAGCAGCCAATGGGCGTCAAGCCACTAAGGGTCACAGCCGAGGGCCGAACCACGCCCCCCAGCCACGCCCCTGGCTCGTACCCGCTGCCTGGAGGGCTGGTAGCAGAAGTTGGCCCGAGCAACGTATGTTTGCTTGGATTGGCTGGCGCGGCAGCGTGCGGAGTGCTGATTGGTCGCCGGAACATGGAATGATTCCGCGTGTTAGCGGGAGCACGGCCAGGATTTTCCTGCAGGTGTGGGGTTTCCTGTGGGTTTGCCTCCGGCGGGCTGTCCCAAGGCCAATTTTAGCAGGGGACAATACAAGCACATAGAGTGAATGGCGACAGTGAGGACTGGCCTAAATTCTCCTCAGCTGTGAACATCTACTACCACGCAGCTGCGCTACCCTCCCAGGACCAAAAGTGAAATATAAGAAAAGGAGTTAGCTGAGGATGACATGCCCTTCTTCCGCCTCCCTCCTCCCGCGACTTAGAGTTAAGAGCACTATCTGAGAAAGTTACTGCTACAGTGTAAATTGATCTTTCGCCAAACGTTTGTCCTCAGACAAGGGAGTTCGGAGGACAGCTTTGAAAGCAGGGAAGAGGAGAGGTGTGGCAGGTGGCTTTAGCAGCCTCACAAAGTGTTTTGGTTTTTATCTATTTGAAGGCGAGTAACATTTCACCCAGTGGCCGTGAAGTCGCTCATCTGATAAGATGTTTGGAAATCTGAAAATCAGGTGTTTGCAAATTACATTTACTAGGAGGGTTAGTAAACCAAGAGTAGGAAGGAAAGCAATGCTACACCGTTAGACGCTATTGATAGACTTGCAATGAGAATAAATAATACTTAATAAGTTTTAAAATTAGCATCACTAAAACAATCACCAAACACCACTTGCTAGTTATTATTGGCAGATTAAAAAACAAAAACAAATTATATATAAATTATATATAAAAGGAATAATATTTTTTTAGCTGAGCCATCCTGCCATAAAAGAAATAATAATGTGATGATTATTTTTCCATTATCATCTTTCATGTAAAACACACCTACCTTGGGGGCCTGTTAAGTGGATTCAATGAAATATAAAGTATGTAAAACTTTATACAAAGCACTTTTCCACAACTAGCTCAAGTTACTACCCATATATATGCCAGTAAGGACCACAATAATTGGCCCATAATAACTAGCAAGTTAATGGGGCTCCAGGCATAGACCTTAAGGCAGCTTACTTAGTTTCTGAGTAGCTGGACTGAAATTTAATCCAAGCCTGCTGGACTATAAAACTTGAGCTCTTCACCCCCACAAAACTCAATGGAAGGCCTAATCCCTGTCCAGGTTTGCACAATTTAATGGTGGAGATGAACAGATACTCGTACTCATTTCAGAAAAGTAGAAAATCAGTATTACTTCTTGTTAGGATTCAGATGTGGGTAAATTGCTCAGCAGCTCTTGCACATTCTCTCACAGAACTCAGTAGAACATGTTTAAGACAAAATTAACGGCTTTTCTTATTTGATAAGGGGGTGCTGCATAAGGCTATTACATCACACTTATGTCCAGTAGGGTGGTTTTTGTTTCTTTGCCTTTTGTTCTTCATGTGTTGCCATGTTTTGGGGTTTTTTTGGGGGTTACAAGTTGGATTAATTAATAATACTGTGTGTCTATCAAAGTGAAATGCTACTAAAAGCAAAACGGCAGGTTTAGAAAAAATATAGAACTGGAGCTTTTAATGAAGGCTTACTGTGGGCCAGGAACGGTACTGAGCGTTTTACACATATTGACTCATTTAATCCTGATAACTCCATAAGGCATACACTGTTATTATTATATTCACAAGGAAACTATAGTATAGTTTAGTATATAGGGCAACAAACAGATCCCCCCTCCAAATTGTTTGAAAATGGGGAAATAAGCTTTCCATCTAGAGTTCAAGTATAAAAGAGACATATAATGTATTTGACCAGCTATATAGAAAGTCACCCTAAAGAAACAAAACAGCTTCCCACACAAGCCCGGACTGTAATCAGACTGAATATATTAACATATCTAAAGAAAGAATTTCCAGGAAGGAAACAAAAAAAATCAAAACAAATTTTATATCTACAATTTATTACCAGGAGGCAATAAATCCAAAAATAAAAAACGCATATGCCCAAATATCCCCAACGACTTGAAAATTGAAAAAAGATCTGTCCTTCACACTCTGATCAAAAAGAAAATCAAATATTCTATACTGAAGAATTTTAATAAAAATATTTAAATATTAATAAATATTAACATTAATACAAATAAATTAAAAATAAAATCTCTATATATCAAAGCCAGGGACGATGACAAATTCAATACTTAGAGAATCTGACACAGGAAAATTCATAGCCTTAATTCAACGCAACAAATATGCATGAAATACCTGCTATTGAAGCTGGGGCAGTGTATAAAGGGACCCACAGCTAATTTCAGAGCTGGAGTTAATCCTGAACCTTTTATTTATATAGCCCAATACATTTTTTAAAGTCTGAATTGATTTTTCTCTCATTTTGGATGAAAGAGCCTTTAGAGAATAGAGGACTCCTTTTCCCTGGCAACACTTCCTTTCTTTGTTTTATCCAGCAATGGCAGGTGAAAACAGGGAAGAGGTGGGGTGTTGGGAAGGGGTACCCTACAGGAAGGAATACCTAAAAACTTTCAGCTTTGGCTATGGGGAGACAAGGGTAGTTTCTGCATTCCTGGGCAGCTTCTGCACCTGGCTGGAGCAACTTTTTGGGTGAGGCCATTTATACATATATCAGGAGAATACATATATGAGAATTACACATTTCTTTTGTTGTTGCAAATATCTCAAACACCCAAGGCTGTATTTAATAATTATCCTTATGGCCAAACTGTATTTTCTACAGCTGAGTTCCATGAAATTCTCCTGTATCCTTTCAATAAGCCTTCTTCATGTCTTTTGAATGGGTTTCTGTTCCTAGGAATCGATCCCTGACTCTCACAAAAGTACAAAGCTTGGCCCATTCCTTCAAGGAGATTTTTTTCCATGCTTAAACAAATTAATATCAACCATGGTATTAACTACGTGCTCTTGTCAAGGAAAGAGGCAGAAGAGTTTGCACAACTTACAAAACAGAACTGAGCCTTCGTTTCCTCACCTGTAATATGTGATTAAGAATATCTTCTTTGCAGGGTGTAATTGTTCGAGACAGTGGTTGCAGAGGCTGCCACAGCTTTGGGCAGTACATGGGCACACAGACAGTAGTTGGGGTTAGGGAGGAATACTTGGGTGAGAACAGGAGTGAGGGTATGGAGCAGAGGTCCCCAAACCTCCTATACATCTGCATCATGGGAGGCATTTGAAAAATAAAGATTTCAAACTGCATCCTGAAACTACCACATCAGAATCTTTGGGTGTGCAGGCCTAGGAATGTGACTTCTAGCAAGCCTCCCTGGATTATGTCACCTAGCTAATCTAAGGCTAGTCTGACTAGTGTATAAGAACTAGCACAAAAGAGGAGGAAGCCAGGTTTGCGTGAGAAGAGAGCAGGCCAGAGGAACAGGCAACTGTTAAGAATCCGTGGGACAATACTGAATTGCCCTTGGTATTTATTTCTGTCATTTGCTTTTGCTTTTTGCGCTTTACTCTTCTGTGCTCTCTGCTCTACTATTTAAAGCCTATGCTCATTTCCTTAAAAAAGACAGTACACTTTTAGGAAGATTTAGGGCAATTGAATAGTAAAACATGCTGTGCCAATGTATAGAAAATATTCATGTTAGGAGACTATAATCAAAACAATAAAAAACAAACAAGCAAACAAAACTCAACTCTTACCTGTTGTTCATATATTAAAATAGTCAGAAGAAAATGAAGGCCAATCAATAACTTTGTAATCATCATAAGTGATATAAATAACTGGCACCAAATTCTCCATTGTAGGTAGCACCTATGGAATGTCTGATGTGGTCCAGCCATTGCTCTAAGTAGATGTTATCACGATCCCCATTTTGCGTATTATGAAACCAAAGCATAGAAAGGTTAGGTAATTATCCTAAGGCCACATGGCTAATGAATGGCAGAGATCATGTGAACCTGTCCTCTTAGTCACTATGCTCTTCTTACTTTCAACACAAAAGCTAATTCCCTGTCAGGGCAGGACAGCCATAGCATCTGTCCCCTGGTGTGGGAGGCCATGCTAGCTCACAGATACTCATGGTATGTAAAGGCTATCAGGAGGCTGTAGGTGACTCCAGTCCTCAGTTGAGGCTGATGGAAGAACACACAGGTTGCTTCAGGTGTGGCTGAGCACAGTTGGTAGCAACTTGCTGTCTCCATTTTGAAGATGGTTATTGAAGTTAACAAAATTTCATGCTGTGTTTAGGTTCACAGATGTTCAGAAGAACGTTGATACATGACCATAAATTGAAACCGAGCAGAAGGAAGTGCTGTCTCAAACACCAGATGTTAGGTTGAGTGTAGTGTATGAAAGAAATGATGGACTCTACACACCCAGGGAGAAGGCAGCGGGCCAACGAAAGGCCACATCTTCAGTAGTCAGCAAGGTGCCTCCAATAAAGTTTTTTGTTTTTTGTTTTTTAATTTATTTCATTCAGTTACCTAAAACAAGGATCAGCAAATGACAGCTCATCTTCCAAATTAGGTCCCCCACCTTTTCTGTACACTGAGTTTCGTGGGAACATAAGCACACTCATTAATCTATGTACTGTCTATGACTACTTTCACTCTACAATGGCATGATTGAGAAACTGAAACAGGCACTGTATGGCCCACAAAGCTGACCTCTGCTCTAAAATGTATTTCACAAATCTAGGTTTAAGATTTAAATTTTTAAAGAGATAAAGTCAGGCTTGATATACATCTGAAAACTCTTATTTCCTTGGATCATGGGCATCAGAAGACATGGGGAGGTAAAACCACTCGAGAAAAAACAAAGTGAGAGAATTTGATTAGACCAGGACCTTTCATTTATAAGGTCAGGTACTCCTCCAGAGAATGAACTTGGTTGATCAGAAGGTTAC